TGAGCAGTTTCAAGCATTTACAGCTGGCCCTAGTCTGGTGTGTGGTAGAGGATTGAAAGGTGACGTGTTTCGAATCCCCTTCTCTAAACATTCCGTGTAAATGTCGGCAGTGAGCTCGTTGAGTGGAATCTCCTTATCGTTCTTGGCAGCTTTCATGGCATCATCCACTGATTTCCTAATCTCACCTTCTATTGCCTGGGACAGAAAAATATTGCTTATCTACATAGATCATCATCAGATAACAATGAAATAAATTACTAATAGATAACATTAATCATGAAATTTAATGAAAGAGATATTGACTAACTTTGATTTCGTCAGCAGTAGCAAGATTGAAATTCAAAATTCTCTCTTTAAAGCTGGTCAGAGGATCCCGAGTCTGTCGGACCTCCTGCACCTCTTCTCGTGTACGATAGCTGGTTCCAGGATCCGACATACTGTGCCCGCTATACCTGTACGTCACAGTTTCCATGATAATAGGGCCTTTACCTGACGTACAGTGATCAATTGCAAATTTCGTGGCTTCTCTCACGGCTAACACATCCATTCCATCCACCTATATAATTTTTATCATAAATCTCTTTACCTTAACAAAATACGAATCTTTTAAAATAGGTTAACATACCCATATTCCAGGAACATAGTCGCCTCTGGTATAATACTCTGTGCTTGCCGCGGCACGTTCCACGCTGGTACCCATTCCGTATCCATTATTCTCGCAAACAAAGATGCAAGGTACATCCCATAGTTTAGCTATATTATATACTTCGAACACCTGACCCTGATTGGCCGCGCCATCGCCGTACAACGTTAAACAGACTCCACCGTTATTCAAGTATTTTTGTGCAAAAGCGATTCCAACTCCCAATGGCACCTAATTGTGATAAAATATTTTTTAAAATTTTAATATTAACGGTATTAAATTGAATTTTAAGACTAATGCAAACCTGAGCGCCAACAATGCCGTTTCCTCCATAAAAGTTCTTAGAGTACATGTGCATGGAGCCACCCTTGCCTTTGGCATTGCCACCTTGTCTGCCTGTGAGTTCCGCAAAAACGCCGAATACATCGATGCCCATTAAATAAGTCCATCCGTGTGCGCGATAAGCCGTGATTACAGCATCCTGGGGTCTCATTGCAGCTTTCATGCCAACCGCACAAGCTTCCTGCAAAGGAAAAGCAACAAAAATTAAAGTATTTCTCAATCAAATAAATATTTTGAAAAGATACAAATAATCTTTACTTGTCCAGAATACAAGTGACAGAAACCCCGAATGATCTTCTCTTTGTACAAGTTGCCAGCAGCCGTTTCCATACGACGTATCGTATGTAGCTGTTTAAATAGTTCAATAGCATCATCCCGAGTAACTGTAACCTGAGTGGATGGGCCATGGTCCAATTTATGCAAACGAAAAGGTTTGGTCTCGAAGGAAGCTTCAGTGGCATAATTATTCTTCTTGCTCAAGAAAAACGAAGCCACCTAGAAACAGCACTTAATTAGTATCTGTAGCAATGTAAAAAACACATTGCAAGTGTAACTGTAGCACGTGCGACAGCGTGAAATTTACATTATCTTGTGAATCAGTGGTTGTGTTCCTTGGAAAACTCAAAGTTCTGCGTTTTCGTGTTAACATCAAACACAAGTTCAAAGCAAACATAATGCGGCGGTAAACCGCAGCACAACCGAATCGCGAGAATGATAATTACCTCGTTCCAGCTTCCAAACTGGCGAATATGCGGGATATTGAGGAAAGAAGAAGATTCATGAAATACGGTGTCGCAAGTAAAAGTGTCTGGGATTCGTAACGAGACCCTGACACGGAAAACACGACGCGGCGTGTTTAGAGGTCATGCTTCGGTGCACTTACATTTCGTCTCGACGACTGCACGGCGACGTTCCTGAGACAGTTTGGTATCATTTCCTAACAATGAGGGAGAGATGAATGAAAACAGAAGACGTTTTTCGTCACGTTGAGTCCAGTGCAGAAGACTGAGACCGCCTCGTCGAACCACCTTCACCTGACACGAACCAGATGATGCACGATGGTGCACGAACGAATGCTTTGGAGTGCAGAGTGTAGATGCGGCTTCAGTGACGGTCATAGTCAGGGCGCAAGAGGCGCAACGAATTTTGCCAGACGCTTTTCCTTGTATGTATGTACACGAAAAATTCTAAGAAAAGTTGTAGACTTTCCCAGTATCTCTGAAAATACTTCTGAAATTATTCCAGTTCGTATAAAAATCCTGAGAAAAATTTCCACCAAAGATATGAAATGTTGTTGTCGCCACGCTCGCGAATTTCTCACGTATTATTTTTGCAAATCGAAATTCCATTTTTTATGAAGATAAGAAGTATTCCTTCTTCTTGAGGTTCGCTACTTTATTATGGATGAGATTGAATGACACTTTCTACACTTTGTAGCGCACAATGATATCGTGATCATGTTTCTTTTAAAACGCGGATGCTTTTTCACGTGAAAAACAATGAAAGGCAATATAATAATAGGTATACTCCTCCAAACATTCTTTTTTTTTTACAATTGTCTCTAATACGTTTCCATTTTATTGTACGTGACTTTGAAAATTTTTAGAAACGAATTAAAGTTGGAATGGAGGTCGACGATTCCAGCGAATACGATCGGAAAATTGTCTCCTTCAAAGACCTCGGCAGGTTTAAATTAACAGAAAGAAGATACAACGATAATTCTCTCAATATATATACAGCGAGGCTGAATGATTTGCGGGAAGACACATTACACAGAGCGAAACTGAAATGGAGTAAGCCACGTTTATACACTCAGAATTTGTTTCTATGTACCTTATTTACAATTTATATATGTTGTAGCCGACTATCAACATGTAGAAGTTTCACGCCTGAGTTTGGAAAGCTCAGAAAAGTCTTATATTCTAATAGGGGTACTTTATAAAGATCAGAGGCTGAAACCTTCCCTTTTACGCGACCTCAGCAAGGAGCTTCAGCTGGAAGCTCAACTGAGTAATAATTATGCATCAATTGACGACCAATTATTTTTGGAGGATGAAACATTACGTGTAAAATTAGTAGGAAATCACATGGATATACAGGAAGTAGTCACAGGGCTCGTCTGTGCGGTACTTGGACATGAATTAGAAAATGGAACATTTTTGGTATATATTTACATAATTATGGTTATAGACAGGATTCCAGCTTGCTCATGTTGAACTTTGCTTTTAGGTAGAGGATTGGTGTTTTCCAGGATACTATCTGAAGCCTTCCAGTGTAAGCAGCTCATTGGTAGAAGATGGAAAAATTCTGCTAATATCTGGATTAGATCTAGTTAATAACACAGACAAGTTCAGCTTAGATTTACTTTCAGAATGGATAACCGGAATGGTAGGATGTACCAATGTTCAAAAAGAAGAAGCTACAATTGCTAAAGTCATTATCGCTGGTACGAATACTGAACCGTCCATATTTTCTGACTAGCGATATTAAATCATGTATAAATAATTGTATAGGAAACTCCATTCGTAGTTCTACAAAAATATACAGCCACAAAGGTTATCATGAAATCAAATCACACGACCAGCTTAAAATCAAAGAAGATGTAATGGCAATGCATAAGCTTGATGCTTTTCTCAGCAATATTCTCAATTATTGTTGTGTTGTCCTGATGCCAGGAGAGTTTGATCCCACTTGCAATTATAGCATGCCTCAGCAGCCTTTTCATCCATGTACTTTAGAAAAATCAGTCAGGTAACAGTCAGGATACATTTAAGCTTTGCTTCAAACTTTCTTTAGACAATACAGTTTAGATGTAATACAGGTTTAAAAGCTTGCATGGTGCGACTAATCCTTGGATCGCTAATATTGGAGGTCGTGTCGTAGCTGGTTCTTGCGGCGAACCAATCATGGATATTATGAAAATCGCTGGATTATCCCCGCTATCTTCGTTGGAATGGCTGGAGCGTACATTGATCTGGAGGCATTATACTCCAACCGGTCCCGACACGCTTCCAATTTATCCGTTTTTCAAAAATGATCCATTCGTTATCAACGAATGGCCAGATATATATTTCGCTGGAAACATGGATGAATATGATACAAAATTAGTTACAGGTAAATTAGTTACAGGAATTTTTTTTTATCTGGTTTATCAATTTTTGTTCATAACGAAATAATTCATGTATATTATATATAGTTGATGAAGAGCATGCAGTACGATTGGTATGTATTCCGAAATTTTCGGAAACAAAAACAGCGGTGCTAGTCAATTTACAAGATTTGACGACACAGCCTATTTCATTCGGTGATAGGCTGACGTAATTTGTACATTAAATATAAAATATTCTGGCGTCTATCTCCCCATTGTTATTTATGCTTCACCTCGCTCTATTAAGACGACGGAGAGATGGAAGCATTTCGGCTTATCGAGTTTTGGATAGGCTTGATATAAAAGATAAAATAATTGTATCATTGCAATGAAGTATTGAAAAATACAATATCGTATCTCCATAAAAGGAATATAGAAGATTATTAATATAAAACTTGAATCCAAAGTTTTCTCAAATATATAATTTAATTTATTCATCTGAATTTATATATTATAACACATATACTTTATATGTATAATAAATATATAATTATTTATTACAATTAGCTCATTTGTCATTGTATATACCTTAATAATACATATCACATAAACTTATAATAAAGGATAAAAATATATAAAAAAATATAAACTTCTTACAAAATGATTTATAACACAAATAAGTAATAAGATTTTATAGTTTTGTAACCCATTTGTTATTTGCAAAAACGTACGAAAATTTATGTAATTTGTTAAATCTCTTCATCACATATCATATACGAACATTGATACATTAATATATAACATTTCTTTAAATAATTATTTCTTTACATTATTTATTATCGAAAACTAATATAATATAATGTTCTATATGAAATCAAATGTTATAATATTACTATCAATATCTATAATATAATATTCTCTATTATATTATTTTCGTTTCTGCGATGAATACTATCTTTCTTTGGCACAAACAGTTAGTATTTTCTTAGATTACTTACATCAGTCATAAGATACATTGTTAATTTTAATAAGACTTGCACAAATGTGTACGAATATTGGAGTTTTTTAAGGCGTAAATATATGCACGATTAAAGAAAAGAAGACTAGTCGAAATGCCGTTAAAGAAATTTCAATTTGTCATTCATCCCAGTATCGTTTAGCGCCGTAACTTTTCAGAGGCCTGTAATATTATCCTGATCTTTCTCCCATCGCGAATGTTTGTTTTGATAAAAATGTTGAGTCTCCGAACCGCAGGATCTGGAGGCAACAGGAATGTTTACACAAACAGTAGTCGATTCCAAACGTTGTTCGTTGTTCAACGAATCTTGACGTTCAGAGCTGCTGCTTTGCTGATCCTCTGACCGCTCCTCGCTTCTCATAGCGCAGATTACGTCCGTAAGAGCCACTATATAATTTTTAGCCAGTGTTAATGTCTCCATTTTTGAGAGTCGTTTTTCTTTGGTAACATGCGGGATCACTTCGCGTAAGGACTATAAAGACAAATTCATTAAAATGAATTCTTACAAAAATGAAAACATTATATATATTGTGTATATGATTAGAAAAAGATTTTTTCAAAAAATATCAAAAACAAATATTTGTTAATATTCTATTAGTTTTATATTTTAGATATAATGTATAACAGTAGCTTTGTATGCACCTGAAACGCATCGTTCATACAGTGCATTCGCATACGCTCGCGTTCATTACTTTCCAGCCTCCTGAGAGTTCTCTCCCATGCTGTATTTCCTTTGGAAGGTTTCGACAATCCCGAAGATTCCGTTTTTCTTGTCGTTCGTCGCAGGTTCTTACTTCTCTGTTTCGATTCTGTAGCCCAAGTATTCTCATTTGTCACTTTAGACCGCATAGTATATTCCTTCCTTCTAATGAAGCAATAATTAAATTTCATCGGTCACAATTTTAAAACAGATTCCTCTTCTCATCTTCAAACTCTGGCGTAAAAGTTTTTACGAAAAACTATAACATAGAGTGAAACAAGATCTTAGAAATTTTCAGTTTTTCATAGATATTATTTGTAATGGGACGTAGAGTCTTATTTTTTTAACTAAGAAATCCTTTGTTCTTAAATAAATCTTATGAATATTCTTCGCTATAAATATCTATGAAAAATTAAAAATTTCTAAGATCTTCCCTGGTGGAAATTTTTCTCAGAATTTTTCATATAATTTTTCAGAATTTCTATATAACTTTATAACTTTCTAACATTTTTTATACGAATTGGAACATCTCTCAGAAAATCTACATCTTTTTTCAGAATTTTTCATATACCTTAATTATAAAATATAGTAAGATTTCTAAGATTTTTTGTAAGTATAATTTCTGACGAAATGTTATAAAATCTAAAAAAATTTAAAAATATTTTTTAAAAATTATGGGATGAGAAAGTTCAAAATATTTCAGAATTCACTTGTGTAAACAAATTCTGAGAGAAGACGTAAACTTTCCGAATATTTCTGAGTAATTCTGAAAAATGTTCCAATTCGTATAAAAATTATGAGAAAAATTCGCCATAGTTTCAATCTATGTAGTTTTTCTGTGTAGTTTTCCCTACTGAAAAAAATCACTTACTGATTTGGAATAATCTGTTACGTGATTTACTTATCTTAATTGCATGATTTCGTTGTATAACTTTATGACGTGATTTTTTTCAGTAGAGCTACTTTTTTGTAAAAATATTTTTCCGCCAAGGACACATATCCTTCTATATCTATATACCTTTTTATATTTGTCTCCAAATTGTAAGCAAAAAGAGAATCAAAATAAAAATATATTAACAAATTGAAGATATAGAATTGATGCTTGACATTTTCTGTTACTTCTTACCAATATTGATCAGATCGTTGACTAATCGATGTTAAAAATGACCTATGATCGTATTTTCACAATTCGTGCTGTATATTTCATCGATTTAATACATTTTGACATCGAATAACTGTATGACAAGTCACGTCATAGATTTTCCAAAATTTCAAACCGTGTACTAAGCACCGCGTGTACTTGTTGAGCCACGCTGGAACAACGACTGACGTTGCGACGTCGGGGTGCGGCCGGCGCCGCCTTCCACCCCCGATATTTTATCATGTACTCTGTGCTCTTTTCTTTTATCTACATCAGTAATCTCATCATGTATTCGATATATCATGTATTCATTGTTTTATCGTACACTATATTCTCTAATAATACAAAGTAACAAATATTTCGATATTCAAAGAAATACTTTCTGATTGAATGCTTTAATTTATACAAATTAATTATAACTTAGCTATTCACATCTATTTTTCCATACAACTTTTTACACGAAGTATTTCTTGTCGAGGTGTTCTGTAAACAAGTTGGAATAATCAATATTCTAACTAAATATGTTCAATTTACATCTAACGTTTGTTTTTCAAATAATAAAAAGCGAATGGAAAAAATGAATACAAATAAGTGTTACGCTTTGCACACCCTTTATATTCCAGTATCTATGTGTGAGCGGGCTACAGGTGGGCGTATGACGTAATTCGCCCACGCGGACCCTCCTATCTACCCATTATCGCTCCGCTAGCAACAACTTAGGGATGACGGGGGTTTAATATAGACAGACTTCAAATGCACCTGCTCAAATTTATATCAATATCTAATGAAAAATTATTAAAAAGCAAATTGAGCAACTTATTAAAAAAGGCAAACTGAGTAATCATGATAGGACAAGGAAAAATATTTATATTTAATTTAATAGGTTGACGATTTCATAACGAATTTGAATTGCATATTTACAACTTCTTTATTTGTCCACTTTACATTTACCACAACAAGCATCAGTTTTTTCCAATTCAGATTCTTTGTGATTAGCAGTCCACGGTCCAAGGCTGATCGTAGCGTAGAAATCCATGGGATAAGGTCTATCCTTGTCGAACTCTGCCATTCTAAGAGCGACAGCGCCTTCGTAGGGTGTGAGAAATGGTTTCTCAAACGCGACACCCCAGTCAATGCTCAATCGTGGACACGCAATCTTGAATAAAATTTATTGATATAGTTTAACATACATAAATTTTTTGAATTATATATTAACTATAACTCGATCAAATATTTTCTTTTTTTAGCTCTTTTTGAAGTTATATATTTCCTCCAAATATGTATATATATTTTTAATTTCAATATTTTCCTACAACTTCTCATAAATTAAATATAATAATATAAAATAAATTAAATGTAAAAATACTAATAAAGAAAGAGGAAGACGAATAAATTTTTGAAACTGATGTTTATCTCATGAGAGATCGTACTTGTATGAAAGCGTCAACGTCTTTGAATAGCTTGATTTTATCCGGGAATATTTCCGACAGTAATATCACGACGTTCTCCTTTCCTAAAGCCTCAATTCTATTTTGCAGAGTTTTCAATACACGAGGACTGCCCTGTCTGCCTAGAGTGCTAAGCACTAATGCATATTTGTCGGTTTTGATAGCACGTTGTATCGCCTCGTGCCTAGTCTTCAACATTCTTTCGTGATCATAAAACTCTTCGGTTAATTTCTTCGCATATGGATCATACTTGAATGATCTTAGCTTAGGATTAGCAATCATAACAGCCTCTAAATGGAAGCGACCATCCCCTATGTACATCACTGCATCAGCACAGCGAACCTGTGGTGCTGTACATCCTAAAATCTTTAAAAGCCGTTGTCTATTTATCTATTGTATCATATTAATGATTAAATATATTAAAGAATGTATTGTACTTCTCCAGGACTAAGTGGCTTGCTTTGTGGCACTGAGATTTCATATCCTTCTCTTCTCAATTCTGCTGCTACCGCTTGTACTGTTGTAGCAAACTGTATTGTACTAACTAATGCTATCTTTGTGGTAATTGGTAGAGTTACTTTCAAGCAATCCACGCAATGCGAAATGTCAATTTTGATATTAACAAATACATAAAGTACTTTGATACCAGCAGTCTGATCTACTGGTATAAGACACGAGTGTCCATAGTGGACCAGAAAGTCTGCATCCAATGCTCGTGTCGTATAATCATCTACACAGCATGCTCCTATAATAAAAGGATATTATAAAATACTGAAAGCATTGGATTGATTCATTCAATTATACCGTAAGTGACATCGGCCATAATAACAGTTTCTGCTTCAGTAAAGTCTTCAATGATGTCAGCTATGGTTGTAGCATACATCAGAAGACCTTCTGGCATTTGGAGAACTACTCGCTTTGCCTTGGCTTCTCTGATTCTCCATATCGTCTTGTGTATCTCAAAATTATAATTCGTAGGTAAAGCGGCTATGGCAGAATTCAGTAAAGGATCGTTTAAAAGTTCCTCGGGAATTTTGCTGACTCTCGTGGGAGCTTTGAAAACTTTGCGAACAGGCTTCGCCTTGATGACTACCACGGAGTCGCTCTGTTCAGCCATCACTTCCAACTCGCAATTAACTGAATTCTCAAAAATATTTTAACACGTGATTTACATAAACTTTATATTGTCTTTGTATTAGCAGCAACTATTCGCAACGAGCAAGTAAAAAGGAGATACAAGTTAGGTTAAGATTAGGTTAGGGACAAAGATAATAATGTGAAATGTATGAAACTGCATCTCCATGTTTTAACAGAACTTATTACACATACGAACTACACATTTCAATATCGATATATTTACCTTTATAAGCGAGTATTAAAAGAAAATATTAATTATTAGAAAATGAAAAAAAATAAAATTTCAATCAGGTCCCACCGAGATTTGAACTCGGATCGCTGGATTCAAAGTCCAGAGTGCTAACCATTACACCATGGGACCTTATATGAAAGACGTTCTCTCTATTATCACCTTTAAGGATAACATATATAAAATACAATTTAAAAGAAAACAGTTTTTTATAAAAAAAAAGAAATTGAAATGTTTTGTACGAGGCTTCATTGAAAAAAATAATCTTAAAAATAGCAGAATTAATAACATGCTTCTACTCTCAATAAAAAATCAACACTTTCAAAAATATATAAATTCTTTCGCCATCTTTCTTTCTTCATTATCGACATATCTTTTTATCGACCATTTTAATTTGTTAGTTTCTCATCAATTCTAGTAGATGTCCCTTTTTCGCACTTCCTTCCTTACCTACATATTTTCTAACCTCAAATACATCTGATGTTAATTATTTGAATATATGCCAACTTTGCTTGTTGTTCCCGATTGTTCTGCAAGCACGCGAATTTACACGTGGTCCATGTGACTTAATTTTGCAAATAATTTTTATATAATAACATTATGGATGCTCACGATCTTTTCAAAAAGCTTGCAGTCGGTGTTAAATTTGATGTAAAACGCTTTCGAAAAGATGCAGAAAGATTTCAGGTAATCAATTATTCAATCCTTAAAAGATATGTTTTTCATGTGCTCGTTTAATATCACGATAATATTTTGTTAGATTGTGAAACCAAGTAAAAATGAAGTCAAAATAAATAATACAGTTGAGAAAATAAAAGACGAAGTATTAGAGCCTACAGAAAGCAAAGCAAAAAGAAAATATGAGAACGAAGATGTTAATGAAATAACATTGCTAAATGGACTATGCGTACCAAAAGATGGAAGTGTTCCAGTTAAAAAACGTAAAAAAGTCGCAACTGCTGACAAGATGTTAAAACTGGAACAAGAAAAGGTATGTGGTATTCTATAGTGAAATTACAAATTACAGCTGTTACTTTTCATAATTCAAATTTTTGATGCTTTGTGTAAAGTTCCTAAATACTTTAAACTTAGAAGATTTGGAGTTAATTTTGGAAATTTGAATTCTTTCTAATCTTGTGGAAGTAATAGTCCTAATGTAAATGTAAAAAAAATATTTTTTAACATATCTAAAATATCTTTAATTTTTCAGATAAATCATCTGAGAAACATGAATCGTATTTCAGTCACAGGCAGTCATGTACCTAAATTAATATTAGAATTTAATGAATTAAAAATTAACTACCAAGTGTCAGAAAATTTGTTAAATAATATGAAAAACAGTGGATACTTGTATCCAACACCAATACAGATGCAAGCAATACCAATTATGTTAGAGGTAAGTGAATTTCTATAATAAGTTATGTAATTAAAATATTTTTAACACATATTGTTTTAACAAGTTTTTTTTCAATGACAGGGTAGACAGATACTGGCTTGTGCTCCGACAGGATCAGGGAAAACTGCAGCATTTTTGTTACCAATCATTCATAGTTTACGAGAACCACAAAAAAAGGGCTTTCGCGCTGTTATTCTAAATCCTACAAGGGAGTTAGCTAAACAGACTTACAGGGAATGTTTGAAATTGAGTGATGGCTGTGACTTTAGAATTCATATAATTAGTAAAGTGAATCAGGCTCTTACCAAATATGGGCCTTCAAGCTCACAAAAGTTTGGTGAGTTAGCCAATGTAAAAATTTTAATATAGAAATCTTATTAAATTTATTATTTCTGTTCCAGATATTTTAATTACTACACCAAAGCGATTAGTATTTCTCTTAAATCAAGATCCTCCAGCTATTTCATTAAATAAGTATGTTTTTTATAATTACAATATATATTAGATAAAAATCACTTAATATTCATAATAATATTCTTATTCTTTTTACAGTGTTGAATGGTTGATTGTGGACGAAGCTGATAAACTTTTCGAGGAAGGAATACGTGGTTTTAGGGAGCAATTAGAAGAGATTACAAAGGCCTGTGTTAGTACAAATTTACGTTGCAGTATGTTCAGTGCGACAAATACTCCAGCAGTGTCAAAGTGGTGCCGTCGTAATATGAAGGGTCTTATAACAGTAACAGTTGGACAAAGGTATGTGTTTGTGTGTCTTGATAAATTTTGTAATAATCATGGAAACTATAAATAATTATGTTTTCTTTTTATTTTATACAGAAATGCAGCTGCAGATTTGGTAGATCAGAAGCTTCTTTTTGTTGGAAGCGAAAGAGGTAAATTAGTGGAATTTAGAAACATTATTCAGAAGGTAGGATAATTTATTTGGAATGTTTTATTACTTTTTTTGAATATTGTGATTGTAAACGCGTTTTTAATTATCAATAAAGGGTATATCACCACCGGTCTTAGTATTTGTACAGAGCAAAGAGAGGGCTCAAGAACTTTTTAATGAGCTTATATATGACGGAATTAATGTGGATGTTATTCACGCTGACAGAACAATGACACAGGTATGATAAAAAAAAAGATTATTTCGCGCAACCTATCTAATTGTACATTAATCATTATATTCCTCTAGCGAGACAATACTGTGCGTTGCTTTAGAGAAGGAAAGATTTGGGTTTTGATCTGCACAGAATTAATGGGCAGAGGTATAGATTTTAAAGGCGTAAATCTTGTTATAAATTATGATTTTCCCCCGTCCGCCATCTCTTACATTCACAGAATAGGTATGTATTGGTCTTATCAATAAACCCACAAAATAGAGCTGTTCTATTCCTTTGACAACTGCTTTTAGCCATTCTTCTTTTCCTCCCTTCTTATTGTTAAAATACTCAGCTAGAAATAGTAGCCTTTCTTCTCTTTTGGTATTGTGTAAGCTATTATTGTATGTTGCTAACAATAGAAAAAGGTCATGCTCTCGTGTAGAATGGAGATAAATATAACACGATGAATGTAAAGAATGGACATTACCATCCATTAAGATACCATTGCACCATAGTATTTTCATATTCCAAGAGTACGTTCAAAGAAACAGAGTGGCGCTGATCTGTCGAGCTATTTTTTACTTAAACATCTTACGTTTTTCGTTACAGGTCGTACCGGTCGCGCCGGTCACAAGGGAAAGGCAGTAACGTTTTTCACTCAACAAGATACGGTGAATTTACGGAGGTATATATTGACTCTTCTTTCTATATATACCTATATATTTATATATATGTTTAAATAATATAAAACGTTTTCTCGTTTCTTAGTATTGCGGCGGTTTTGCGAGCCTCCGGATGCGACGTACCGGATTACATGTTAGCCATGAAGAAGCACAGTAAGAAGGAACGACGTAAGCTCGAGCGTACGGCACCCACACGTGAAAAAATATTAACCGTCCCTACGTATAAACGACATAAACGAAAATCATGCATCGAAAAGAAGTCAGAGTTGGAGAAGGAAATGTAAGTGTAAATATGATATTCGTTTTTAAAATGTGAAATAAGTGTAATAGAATCTTTTTATAAAAAATAAAATATTTTTTAAAAAGATCTACATACAAAAGACTTAGAAATTGTTTGTAAATAATTTATTGTATCAATACTTACATATAAAATTTATATATAAATCTATAATTGTTTATAAAATTATATATAACACATTCCTTAACAATCATATAATGTTTTAACAATAATATGAATTTTCTAAAATATTTGTCATGGCATATGTACAGAGATTACTTTGAAATTCCGTTCTAGAAGAACTAGAAAATATTGTCTAAGTGCTGGACATTTGATAGAAAATCCAGAGATATTACAAAGGCACTTTTAATGTATCCTAACTGTATATTTTTATTGCACAGTTTCATTGCATGTTAGGAATTCTCATTATACCTACTTATGCAATCTATGTTTCGAATAACCAATCGCATGGCAATTTTGGCATTTTATTCGCTGGCCATGGAAGATATCCTGCCGTTTTGAACACCCAGTAGTCGTAAGACACTTTGGCAATCAAGCCTATTAAAAGTATCACTTCGGTAGCGATAATATAATATATATAGTCCGTCCAATCTCCCGGATACACGCACATTTTCGATGGTTCTAGATCTACAACTTTTTCCTTTACATTTTCGCACATTACTTCATCGGAGTCCAATATCCGCGTTTGTAACCACGCCTGAAACAAAAAGTAAAAAAAAATTCTTTAATATTATATCTTATACTTATCTGTTTTTTTTATAAACATACGTTTGTACGTTATACCTTTAAATGTTTAGCAGTATTACAATCACAATGCAACTTGTTGCCTCCTAATCTGACCAAATTTCTCGAGCTCAAAAAGTTTTTATGATGTGCGCTTGGACTTAATATGTATGTTGGCAGCTAAACATATTATAGTTAAGATATGTTAATGCATTGGATATCATCGAAGAATTAAATATATATTTCTTTATTTACTGATTTTACTTACTACTTTAATTTTATTGTATCGTAAACTCAAGATAGCATAATTGTCCAGAAATTTAGAACCTTCCAATTTATTTATCGACGAGATATTATTATAATCCGCATAAAACTCTCGCAGATCTTCGTAACATGGATTAGTACTGAGATCATCTAAAACTGTAATCTAAAAGAAAAATTCAGAGAAAATTTGCATTATAAAGTTCATACGTGATAAATAATGTAGAATCTTATCTAACATGTCGCGCATACATTATTATAAGAAATATTCAGGGCTATAGTGTTTTGCGGTAATTTTTCGGGTAGCTCCGTCAGCTGCATTCCACTGCAATCTACACTTACAGCGTGTGTAGGTGGTTTACCTTCGATAATGTCTAGTCTTCTAATATCACACTGACATTGCCAGGTATCACCTTTCGGACATTCTGTTTGCAACTAAAAGTCAAGATTAATTCTAATTGTATCTTGTGTATAAAATTTTATATAAGAGATGTTACATCTGTTAAAACATACCAAACTGAGATAAAGAACCTGCGAAAGAGGCACTTGTTCAGTGGTGTTAAACCAATGCCACGTTGCCATGGAGGAACACACTGTCTCGTTCTCGCGATTAAATGTGATTTGCTTTTCGCCAGTTTTATTGATATAATGATATACGTCGTGACACGAAAGTTTATTCGTTCCTATAGGAAAAAAAAATGTTAATAAGTATATGTTTAATTAAGAAAACAATATTGAACAGCAGCTTGTTTACCAGAGATGTCTAACCAGAATTCTCGGCCATTCATTGTATTTAAAGCTGGAAGGTAAGTGAGTTTATTATAAGACAGATCCAACGTAGTGAGTTGCACCAAACGTGTCAGCGAATTATTCTCTACCTCGCGCAGCTCATTATTCGAGAGATTCAGACATTGTATGGGCGTCATCATGCGAAATTGCCCCCGCAGTCGATTAATCTTTCCATCGGTTATGGCCAGAGATTTCAGCATCCTCCAACGAACTTCACTTACATTAAATACATCCAACGTCGCGTTACGTATGTGAACATAACTTATGTTTGAATGTTGAAATCCTAAGATACAGTAGCGAAAATACTTGAGTATATATACTGTTGGATAAATTAAAAGAAAGAATTCTTGCATTACAATTTTTACCTATGCAAGAGAGACCATCTTCTAGACTTTGTTGATCTGTATTACAGCAAAGCGCGGCATTTCCCTCAGGTACATTCGCAAGAGTGATCCTCTTACAGGGACATCTTGAATCCGAGGTCAGACAGTCTACCGGATGTCTGTAAAAACACTGTTCTGGAAGAGAATTCGAGACTCCACTTGCACTCGACGTCTGCTGGTCCTCCTCTGTACGTGCACTGGCTACTCCAGCGTAAAGGCAAATCACTAAGGCTAGCCACTGCATCTGCATTCAACATATATAATTATATATCGTGCATAATTTTTTACAAAATATTTATATATCTAGTCGAGAATGTAACAAATTACCTTTTTCCAATCTATTGCTGCAGTTAAATATGTATCCGTACAATATTGTTATTGTTTTGTTTGGTATTATACCTTGCAGTTGTACCTGCAGAAAAGCGTTACGTGTTTTGCGACTGCAATTAACGCGATGTAACGGCGTGTTTTCCCTTCTCTCGAGCTAATTCAATGAACATACTTGATTGCTCGCGGGCCTCGCTTTGCCGCGGCGGTTGGCACAAATGAATTAATCCGTTTAATCCCGATCAACACTCCGGGTCGCTCGGGTCGGCCTGTTGATGAATCGCGATTGCTCGGTCGAGGACTTGGCCGCGTTCATTACACTCGTTTCACTTGCTCTACGTTGAACCGAGTATGTCAATTATATGATAAAAAGAGAAAAACACGTATGCCTGTCGTTATCAATTTACCGCATAATTGCGAAACATATTATTATATATCGTATTCTGTTTACGATCATCAACAATAATATGAATTATAATCGTCGTTGATCTGCATTTTATGTTTTACACTGCAATTTCTTTAACTATTTTCGGCTAATTGTTATTTTTAGAAAAATTATATAAATAGAGAATATTCAATGACAAACGATTTACATATTTTTCAGTTTGAGAAGATAATTGAAAAACTCTATTACCGAATGTACATAATTTTAATAATGAATTTTTGTCGTTCTGAAATTTTATATAATTATAATTTATATACGGATTATACATTTTATAATTATTTTGATATTTTGTAAGTGCATGTAGACATGAAATTATTTTTATTCATCCATTTAATTGTATATTTATGCAGATCGTGTTACTATCAACGGATGGTAAGTATTTTCTTTTATATCGATTATAGATACTTAGTCGATAAAAAATATTTTTATTAAATTTTGCATGTTATCTTTATGACATATATATATCTTTTAAATATTAATTCTCATTATATCTGGAATTTATATTTATACTGTTTATTTCAATGTTGTCCAAAATTTACAATTTTGGACAATTATGGCTCGACGTATATTTCTTTCTTCTTCAAGCTGAATAGAAAAAGAAAAGTAATAAGCATAAATACTGATATCAATGCCAGAATTAGAAATCTTGGGAACAGCGCTGGTTTATTTTATTATTTATTTAATATTATTTGCACAATATATGTAAAAAAAATTTGAAAATTTCGAGCTTTTGTGATGACCTCTGCTGGTCACTCGCGAAATGTCTTGCGGTTGGGAAATGTAAACGAAAATAAAAATAAATAAAAATACGCTCTTTGTTTCGAGCTATATCGAGCGTAAACATCGTATCAAGGGAGAAATTTGATATGATGCAGTGACATTTATTTATCTCAACGTATATTGCGAATAAATTGGGCCTATTAACGTCCAGCTGACATTTGAATATGGATACATTTACGTGCTCATGTGGCACGTATCAGCGATATGACGATGAATGGCCGGCTTGTAACCTAAAAACGTAATTATTATCACACGTACGATTATCTCGTTAATTGTTCGCACGTATAATTAACATCTCTTTTCGATGCGATAGATCGACGGCGGAGTACGCGGTATGTTAGAAACGAAGGCCTGTGACGATGGACGACACATATGAGTTGAACCTGAAGAATCTAGCCGGTTGGATCGCATCCTGTGCATTGATCTTTGGCGCGGTTGTACCCTATGTACCGCAATACAAGGAAATCAAAAGAAAGGAAGATGCTGAAGGATTCTCCCTTTACGTTTGCCTCACTCTCCTGATTGCCAACACGCTTCGTATACTATTCTGGTTTGTACCTGTCAGAGATATGATGTGTCTTCCAACAAGCAACACAAATGACACTGTGTGATACATTGGATCATCACATCCTTGTTGTTTGCCAATGTTAAACGAAGATGACATGGTGTGTCTTTCAACCCTACAAGCGACATGGTGCGACATAGTGATCATATCATCTTTGTTTAACATTGGCAAACGAGGATGTAATGATCCATTGAGTCACACTGTTTCACTTGTGTCGCTTGTTGGAAGATATACACTATTTGTCATGTCTCCTTTTCTAACAGATTTTGCAAACAACTTTTAGTGCTTCTTAACATTCTTATATATAATGTTTTAATAATGTTGTGATATTCTAAACATTTTGCATATCTTAACTCCTCACAGATTCCTATCTTGAATTTCCATTTTAACCTTAGACCACCTGGGTAAAGGACAATTGTTTTTCAAAGAGTTTTTAAGCTCCAAATAATTTGAAAAACTACTAATTCAAAACTACTTTTTCAATACTTAAGAATAAGATGAATAGGATTGTACAATTGTATGACCTGAAACATTTTTTTACTTATTCTATATATATTTAAATCTGAAACTGAATCGACAAAATAATTCCAAGTTGATAAATCATTTAGGTCTTTAAATCTCCACTTTATGGAGAGTTAATACATATTTATTATTATATGACGACAAAAATATATCATTGAATATGTCTCCAAATATTGATACTACACATTCTCTTTAGGTTTGGCAAGCACTATGAACTTCCGCTTTTGTTGCAAAGTATACTTATGATTCTGGCAATGTTTGTTATGATTAAACTTTGCATTAATGTACAAAACAGAACGCAGATAATCAAAGCAAAAGAGCGTGTACTTACAGGTGAATATATCTTATTATTGCAGATATATATAGATACTGATTTATATATACATATAAATACCTGCATTTATAGGCAGCGAATTTTTATACTTTGCAGATTTGGATGCTAGATTCTTTTGGAAGTGGACAGATTTCAAGTCCTACTTGGGTTTCATGGTTCTGTTCGCTGGCACAGGTGGTGTGATAACATATTTATTTCTGGATATACCAATATTTATTGAAATTGTTGGATTCTTAGCAGTATTGATAGAAGCTATGCTAGGAATCCCTCAATTTCTTCGCAATTCGTCGAACAAGTCGACTGTAGGAATGAGGTGAGGATTAGATACAGAAAAAAAAGAAACTACGTAAACTATGTATATATATTTAATTAATATTTTACTGTAATTTTAGTATAGCAATGGTGGCAATGTGGACCGTAGGAGATATTTTCAAAACGTGTTACTTTATTTTGAGAGATACCCCCATGCAATTTCAGGTGTGCGGTGCCATTCAAGTCACAATCGATGTTGCCATTTTAGCACAAGTATACCTTTACAAGACTAATAATAATGTACATACAAGAGCTCCAACGAGAGCGGATTGAAGATCATTTTGCTGTCGCTGTCTATTGAAAACAGAACTTTCCGAACAACAATAATACTTCGCCTAAGTCTAAATATACAGATTTTTAACTTTTTAATAGTGATCTAGTGAAATATAAAAAGAAATTATATTTTTATATTGAATGATCGTCGTCAAACACATTTATATGTATTTAAGTTTCTTAATATTTATCGAACAAAGTGCAGTCAATATTTTGATAACAATTTTAGCATTTATCGATATTTAATATATAAACATACAATTTGTTATTTTATAAAATTCATATCTCATTACATTAATCATTCCATGCCAAATGTAATCATCTGTTCCTCATATAATTTTATTTTTAAATGTTATTGAATTATTGATTATAAATATAATCTTATTGAATTAATTGTACAGTTTATATATGTACATTCCCATGTTATTAATGATGAGAATACCAGACATGGCGGGAGTTTAACACGTGTCCGTTGCTTAGTGACAGACCGTCAACAAAACTTCGTGAATAAAGTGGCAGACTGTGGCAGACATGGCATAGCTCCCATCTAAAGGGAAAATGGAAAATTTTTAATGTCGTAAATCGAATCACTTTGCATTGTTCAAAATTTTTTAAGAGAACTTTCTTTTGCTCAATAATTATCTTTTATTATTATAATTATCGAGAATCGTATATTTGAATTTTTCGTCAGAAATGACAAGATGTATGAAGAAGGTTAATCTAAAAAGCAGCAGTAAGTGTTTATAATACGTATGTAATAATATACATATTCTAATTCATAATTATAATATTACAAATTCTATAAAAACATAGCTTATAATCAAACGGGACAGAATTATTTTGAGCAATTGGCGGCGTATAACTCAATGAGCGCGCATCTGCGACGAATTTTATTGGCAAGAAGCATAGTTGATACAAGAAATAAAATTTATTTGAAAAAAAATCAGCGATACAAAGTGCAAAGAACTGATGATAGCGAAGTCTGTATGCGTCTGGAAGCAACGGACGATGTCATTGATAGATTGGCCTATGATATTCGACATCATCCCATGGTAAAGTACAGCTAACATATCAAAATTATAAATTGGAATGAATGTAATAAACGGATAAAGATTTCTATAATTATTAAGTTAATTGGTGATTTTAGAGATTAAGAATTTGCTACTTTTTGTAGCAAACCAAAATGATTTTTTTATAAATCTGCTTTGAAATTTTCATGTAGGATATGTTAGGAATATGTTTAAACGCAAAGCATCTGGACTTTTGCAATTGTAATTTAGATCAATTGAAAGCTTGTAGTAGTCATATATATTGTGACGAAATTGATCAAATGGATCGACGGCAACGATTAAAGAGTGAAAGAATAAGATCATCATGTTTGCTGAAACGTAAAAAATTTGCAAATTTTATTTGCAAAAAGGAGCTGAAATCTACGATATGTCCTAAATTTACGCGAGATGTCCCTAATATATTGCGACAGAGGTGAGCTCGTATTAAAGATTCAAATTATTAATTATTTCATTCAATTTCCTCCCTCCCACAAAAATTGTTGCTGTAACTTTCAATAAATATATATATTTTTTTATAAATATGCTAATTATCTATTAATTTTTTTATCTATTAAATTTAAAATAAATTACATGAGATTTATATATAGGGTGACTCAGAATGATCGCCAAATATTTCGTGTGCTGGTAGAGTGGACTAAATTAAATCGCAAAGTCCTCTATTATTTTACAATTTTCGCAATAGTTAACAAGATATTAATTATTAAAAATTTCTGAATATTTCTGAATTTTAATAATTTTTTATTCAGGTACTATATCAACTTCACAGAAAAACAGCTGATAAAAATTGTTTATATTTTTTTCTCCTAGAGTTCTGAGAATTTTTTCAGAATTTTTTAGTATCGCATTTTCTCATGTTGTAAAAATTGTCAATATATATACATATATATATGTGTATATATATATAAAAAAATGCAGTACTAAAAATTTGATAAAAAAATTCTGAAAAAAATTCTTAAAACTCTATGAGAACTTAAACAATTTTTATAAGACAATTACTGTTTTTCTGTAAAATTGATAGTATTCAAGTAAAAAATTATTAAAAATGAATATTCGACAATTTTTAATTATTAATATCTTGTTAACTATTTGGAAAATTGTAAAATGATAGAGGACTTTTTGACTCAGTTTAGTCCGGTCTACTTATGCATGAAATATTTGACGATTATTCTGGGATATCCTGTATATTTTTTATAAGTATTATAATTATCTATATTTAAAATACATTACTCGAAATTTACATATCATATATATCTGAAAATTCCCTTTTTCATTTCATTTTTCATTTTTATATAAGGTGTAAATACAAAAAAGAGCTCCGAGCTCCTTGCGCAGATACTAGATTAGATTCAACGATGTTTAAATCACAATCTCAATCTCCAAGACAGACAAAAATCGATTATCGCATGGTATCTGCAAATGTCTCGCAATGTTACAATTTTGATTGTGATGAAAAATATATCAAAGACTCCATTTCCAAACGATTCATATTTCAAAAAGAAGAAGAGAAGAAATATATTAAATTTGTTTACGACATCACCAAAGAAATAATGCAGAGAGGTCTTTATACCGATAAAGAGTTGCAGGACGTATTTAAGAAGCACATTAATCAATATAAAGGAATATTAAACATGGTATAAATAATAAAAAAGTCATAAATGTAAAAGAATTTTATTTTAATATCTTACAATTTCTTAAATATTATTGGTATCTCCCTTAATATTTATCAATATATTGTCTTTATGGATATTCTTTTTTATTTCAGAGTAAAATGCTGTACGAGATTTATCAGTTAAAGATCTCCTTAAATATAGTGGATGATTCAGATACAGACGAAGAGCTAGAAGATTTGATCCATGCACAAAAATTATTAAGTGTATCTGAGATTAGGCCACCTACACCGCCGAAGGTTTTGGATGAAAATAAAGTGATGGAAAAATTAGAATCTTATCAGAAAATGATGAAAGCTGACAGATCTCCAAACATTACTATGAAATCAGTGATACTGGTTGACGCGAACCCTGAATTACTTATCACCGAAAGAGATGTGCTGGTATCATTAGTGGAAGCAGGTGTAGATCCTAAACAAATTCAAAATATTTGTAAAAATCTACGTTACAAGAGTAGAGACATCAACCCTCCTGAAGGGGTAAGATAATTCAATATTCTTCATTATTCCGGAAATAAATAATAATCTTTACTTTATTTAGGCACAAATAGACATGGAAACTTTATATTCTTCAGATTTGAAAGTAGACAATTTAGAACTGGAAGACAACGACAAGGTTTCTGTGATTGTTGAAAGTGATAATTCTGCCGTGGATAATTCGATTGAGTTTTCTGAAAAACAAGGATCGAGTTTTTCGACACCGAATTTCGTATTCACGCAAGACAGTGGAACAAAATCTGAAATCACATCTGAACATGATGATAAAGTAGAATCGTAAACTGAATTAATGAATTTATTTCTGTTCCTTCGTTATGAACATTTGCTTTCAACGCCTTGCTCGTCATATTGTCCTTATAAATATTTATATATCGCCCTCGAGTAACTTATTGTATTAGCAACTAAATAAACATTGGCTTATGCAATATTTAGTTTATGCAGGAAAATGATTTACTTATTACTTGATAATATATCAATGTTGAGAAACAAAGAACGCTGATTTTATTTCACATTCATATATATATATATCTTTTATTCATCTGTTCTCTTATATTGGATTTCACAATACATCTGTATGAGGATCTGTGGTTTGTAATTCGTCCAACAAGCTGAATTCTCAACAGAGATAAAATATACATGAAAAAATAGGTACCATGTACATTTGTAACCGCACATGTACATTTCGTGCATATCTCTATGTACAGATACACAAATGGTATGCGTTTGTACAACAGGAAAATTCATATATTATGCAGATTTAAATATACATATATTACATATATTAAGGTTTTTTTTAAGTGTATATATATATATATATATATATATATATATATATATATACACGGACAATAAAATAGTTACACATATAGTTGCCATATATTATTTTGTTCGTTTATCTACAGCTATTAGCTCTGTTTGTGCATTTTGTTTTGTACATGAGTTTTGTCTCCTTCTCATTCGGTACACTACAATTATTTTAACTTCAAGAAGGTAACTTTGAAAAGGTAACTGAAAAACATTTCACTTGGCATCTATTAATTCGGTAAATCATTAAATAACTATAAACATAATATGCGGTGGTTCTCTCGTCATTTAAAACAACTTTCATAAAGTGTTAATATATAATATTATCAAAATAATTGCATTTGTTTTAAATTCTGTGTGTGTATATGTGTATTTTTCGTATTAAAATATCGTATGAAATATAAAGATAGTTTCTATAGCGTACAGATAAATCATCGTATTCCATGAAAATTTTATAAAAATTTGAAAATTATAGAACTAATAAAGTTATAAAAACTTAAAAAAAAAAACAATTCTAATGTAAATCAATATATTAGGTGTAGTAAAAAGAAATCCATCTATTGGAAAAATAATGGATTTCTTTTTACCTAATATTAAATCTGTGCTATCGTAAAACATATACAATAGAAATAACGCTACACATATAATAAAAATCGAATAAATCTTGCTTAATAAGACATTAAATGCTTATAAGCATTGAGTCGCTTTTCATTCAAAAAAAAAAAAAAAAAAATTATAATATGCATCTCCTCATTAGCTGCCATCAGATCCATTTGAAGAACAGTCTTCGAGTTCCGGTGCGTTTGGACCTCTCTCCAATATGCGGAGGAGTTCTGTTACATGTCTTATTGTAAAATCTGGTTTAGGATCGTCTACCGAGAGACGAGGTTTATCCGTGGTAGGTATCCATACTGTTCCGTACAGTCCAGCCTCGATTCCACCTATACGATAATTTTTCATCTCATTTATACAATCTAATATCTTTTGAAAGAAATGTGTTTCCAGATATTTCTGGAAGATTATAAAATTGTTAGAAGAAAATCTACTAAAAAAAAATACCTAAAATATCAGTCTCCAACTTGTCACCGACCATGATGCACTCCTCGGGTCTTACTTTAAGAAAATGGCATGCCTTTTGAAATATCTCTGCTTCTGGTTTCTCCCACGGCAGATCACCGGATACTAGGATAATATCAAAGTATTGCTCCAATGACAGCTTCTGTATCTTCTCCCACTGAGCGTTCGATGGTCCATTGGTAATCAGACCCAACAGATATTTCTTTCTGAATTGACGCAGCATAGAAATTGTGTTTGGCGCCAGCATCATGTAGTGATATCTTAAATAGAGCCATCTTTCGTAAACTTTTTTTGCTAGATGCGAATATTTGCAGCCCAGCGCCTTGTTCCAGAGAATGGTACGCCAAGCATCCAATGTGAGAGTCGCGTTGTCGGGACACTTTCTAAATTGCTTCAGATACGTGGCCGTTATCTTGGCGGACGCATCTTCCGGGATCCCATATTCCCGATTCAATTCCTCAGTCAACTGCAGGTAAACGTACAATGTTAGCTTTCTTTTATTATAATCATATGTTTTGTGATAAAGAATGATGAGTGAAGAACTGAAAATAAAAAGGAAAAGATGAGGATAAAAGCAATTTCCACACTCAATAAAAATGTGCACAAATCGTAGATAATCATCTTGTTTGTATAGCAGAATTTCTCCTCGTTAGAGAAAAAGAGATTAGAATTGTTAGCAAAGCGATTTCTTGATAGACAAGATGTAAAGTAGAAGAGACAAATATTGAATGTGGAGTTCATTAATTAACGAAGGTCTTAGGATAACAGGATACAGCGGTCAGTTAAGGATTTTTAGGACACTTAATTCATTATTAATGATTACCTAGAAAATGCATTGATTCATTGAAATACTCGAGCCGATTAGTGGACACTCGAAGTGGCATCCGCGGACGTTGCTGTAATCACAACAAAATGAGTTGTGCCGACAACAACAACATCATATGTTATTTCCAAAGCCTATAAGTTGTAGCTGAAAGATTTCTGGATATTAAAACATGAAACTTGTCTTTGAAAAAGATTACAATGCATACATAGCTTACAGTTAATTGTTTCAAAATTATTTCCGCTATCCAGTAATCTTTCTTTTAATACCTTTGTTAAAAATAACTTTATTAAGAACGTTAGGCACATAAAGTGAAAGTGGATGATGGTGATGAAATCAAGCGAAAATTCAAATCACGCTTACAAAATTCTTCTATTTAATAGGAAACTATTATTCTCATTACAAAATCTTTTCTCAAATTAAAACATCTTAGGATTATAGTAACATCAATACTATTACAATCTTCATTTCCGCAATGTGGCAAAGTAAAAAGAAGCACATCTGATAATAATACACACACACACAAACGAAATATACATATTAAAGTCTCATGTATCTCCGTACATGATTTACTTAAGAGTTTCTTCGAGCGATAAGTTTCTTAGTTTTCTTGCTTGCCAGGAAACTATTTCCAGACATGATGCTGTCTAAATATACACTGGACTACGCGCACGTATTTCGAATATCGTATGCAGGAGACGCGTAAAATAATAAATTTAAGTCGCAAAATACTACAAACTATTTTACAAAGATCTTAGCTCTTTATACAAATGTTCAATTAATTGTTCGCCTCGCTTAATTAATTCTTCGCTACTTCCGCTATAATTCCGCATAATTTTTTTACATCGCTCGCGCAATATAAAATCAAAAAACTATACAATAATGTCCTCATTGCTCAATCCTAATCTCCAAAGAGGCGCTTTCCAAGCTCCATCATGCGATGATTTCGACAGACAGTTAACGCGCCGCATTTTTTCAACACTGATGCGACGCTATCGTCAGCCTTCACCAAATGACACAGCAGATCCTCGAAGGCTGACTTTACATTCGGTTCCAGACCGCCAATCTTCACTCGTTTCAGCGTCTCGATGATCTCTTCCGCCCAGCCGGATTCTATCGTAAATTGCGACAACCAGGGTATCACTTGCAGCACGCCAGACATCGTCTGCATCCCCAGGAACCAGAGCTCCATCAGTTCCATCCAGTGTTCCTTGTAAGACATGGAAACTACCAGTTCGGTAGGATCGTTGCTTTCATCGATAATGTACGCATCCCATAGGAATCTTATAGTGGCCTGAATGTAACGGCATATCGAGAAGTCATTTTTCTTGATACGTTTCGCTTGTTGCTTCATTAATAACAAGCCTAAGACCGCCAGATGACCGTGCAGCACCAGATTCTCCGGGATCTGCTTTAGCTCCGGCAGATTGTTGTAGATGAACTTCAGCAGCGAAATAAATGTCGGCGATTCCTCCACCAATTTTGCCTCCAGCACGGTGATATTCATCAAGACGTTGCAGATGGACACCATTGCGGTTCTAGAATCCTTCATTTCCTCCAGAATATGCAGATCCAGCTCTTCCGTGCGATTACCATCTTGCAGAAGTTTCAGACGCTCCGATCTCGGCACTGGCGGCTTCTTGTAGTGTACGATGGTCCAATGATAGGAGAGACACTCGAACAAGATTTCGTCTTGTTTATGCTGAAGAAGAATCTTTCTGGCGGCCTCTTCCACGGCCAGATAGCATAGAGCAGGCAATAATAGTCTCAATACGTCGATCTCACTTATTGGATCGTGAACGATTGATTCTCCAGACGACGGTCCTTCATCCGCTTTAGCTTTACATTTGACTTTCTCAGCTAATTTCCTGTTTCGATGCGCGTAAAAGGTATCATTAGCCACCGTCAGCACGTATGGTAACACGGCGTAAACTTGCGGACGCATCGCGCTCGTTTCTTGCGCCATCCAAGCTGTGAGTACCCTGACAACGGCGCATACAAATAGCTTCTCTTTCACATTCGTTAATGTTTTCATCTTAGATACGGAACTCAGTAAACCGATAACAGCAGCGAAGGCGCCTTTCAAGGCCGTGTATAAAGACTGTTTTTCTTTCTGCTCCAAATCCAGCTGATCTGTAACGATATAGCCGATTGAAATCTCGAGAATGATAAAGCAAGCCGTAATCAAATCGCTATTCTCGAGAACAGCTTTAAGCTGTTTGTCCTCTAACTGCATTCGGACCTCAATCGACGCCAATTGTATGAGCAGAAGGAAGAATATTTTTGGTTTTTCCTTATCAGACATGGCCCAATCCGCGCCCAATAGATCTATCATCACAGACGCGAGTTTCAAAGCTGGATCCCGTTGCTTTTTACCTATTTTCGATCCTAGAATATCGCTTAAACCCTTGTGAATGCTCAATGGCCAAGATTCTTCCTTTGCATTCGTGGATATCACTTCCTTTCTGCAGGATTGCAATAAAGCCTGTAAAATGGTGCATAGCTCGAATTTTCTCTCTGTATGATCAGTTTCGAAGTCTAAAGCTATCTTATTCATTATAGCGTGGAAGGGCTCAGTATCTGTTGGATTCCAAGCTTCCGGTCCAAACGTACTGACCAACGTGACTAAAATATTTAAAGCCTCATCCGTCTGAAAGGTCTTCTCCGCGTATATGTCGCACATCTTTGGAATCGCTTTTTGCTCGAGCAACGCTTTCTGTCCAGGAGGATATTGTGCGATACACTGTAAGCAAGTGTACGCCTCGCTGACAATGATTAGCATGTCGTCTGGCGCATCCTCGTCAGCCTGAGATACTATCTCCAGGAGCGCCGGGATATGTCCCACCATATCGGGATGAGAGGCCAATTCGGGATCTGTGCAGAACGCGGAAAGAATGGACAACGCCACTGATTTGTAGACTTGCGGTGGACAATCCACAGGGACACTTGTACTAGACAACAGTTTCTTGAGAAACTTAGCTCCGATGGCTTCAAAGAGCATTCTCTTGGCAGCAGAATTACAATCCTTGCCTTTCACCAGCTTGGTAACCATGAACAACGCGGCGAACTTTTCTGAGTCGGTATCTACCGCCTTTAGTACAGCCACGCACTTCATGACACCCTCTGGGATACTCATGGTGTTCGACTGTTTAGAAAGAAGTAAAAAAGAAGAAAAGAAGAAAAGTGAATTATGAAGTCAAAGACCGGCGACAAACGTTTGATACTAATGCTCCAGTATCAATGTCGTCGATGTGTCCACGCCACAGGAAAGCAATTTCCAAAATCGTGCGGTTCTAAGAGGCGTCGGACCGGCTGTCGTGCTGTCCGTCGCGTATCATAGTTGAGAGCCAACTGGCAGAGTTCCCAGAACGGTCCTCTCGCTGCCTAGCCTTGCCCTTTGACACACTCACCGAAGTGGCCGAAAATAACTAGCGGAGGATGCGGAACACGTGCGCGTGTCTGCCGCTGGCAGCTGCTCCGTCATTAAAACTATCTCTTTGAAGTGTATCGGGGAATTCCGTTCCGAGGCGTGACGGTAACCTTAAAACTATCTCGGTTAATAATGTCGGAACAATGCATTAAATACAATCATCGATCAATCAGTTAGAATGTTTCCTGAATCATCTCTGCGCGCAATAACAACAAAATATTGTCCCACGACGCAAGTTCTCCGTTAGGAAAATTTCTTGGTTAGAAATATTTTTCTCGATCTCGAGTAGGCATATCTCGACTCGTTTCGCGACCAACTTCGTGGACTTCGCACCGCTTTGCATGATCCGAGAAAAGTTCGTTCACGTTCAGCTGCACTTTTCTGCACTTTTCCGCGTCCAGCGAGGCGAGGGTTCACATCGCTTCGCTGAAAGGAGACGTAGAAAGGCGAGGAAAGCACGACTAAAACGAAGAGATTTAAAATCTCTTGCAAGAATCCGCGCGAGGGTGCGAGATACGGCGCCGAGAATAGCCTGGAACAGCCATCGCGTCGCAAAGAAAGCGCTCTAAATCGGGGAATCGGCTCGTATTACACACGGGGACGGGGAGAAGGGAGAGCTACTTCTATTCTTGCGACGCGAGTGGCAAAACGTCGTGGGAGAGTGCGACTTCTCGCAAGGAGCTTAGCACGCTCGTCCGATTTCACGGCGGCAATCGGTCTGGTCTCGCTAGGAAAAACCGAGGTGAATCGTTATGTGGGGGGGGGGGGGTAGCGGGGAGAGAAAAGGGTTGATTTTTTAGGTAGTCTCTTAGGTTAAGGCGTGATCCTCCCGTACCTTGCGGCAAGTCTGACTGTCCGCTCTTCTGGTTTCGACGAGAGTATTGTCCAAATCGAAGAAGACGGCACTCAAGGACGCGTTGGATGAGAAGGACCGTGAATTACGCCGCTCGCGGAATGCAGCTTCCATCGCCATTCCCTGTGACAGAGTAATGGCAGCGCTGATTCAGCGCACAAAGTGCCACAAAGAACACGAACGATCGCTCTACTTCATTATCAATTTGCATATTGGCACCATGAACTAATAAGTTACTTGATCGACCACGGCTCGCGACGCGGTACAAAGGTTGGGAGTGGCATGAAGTACGTCATAAAAGCGAGCTTAAGGCAGCCATGTTAAACTATTCTGCTGTGCAAAAAAAGATAAAACCGTGATCAGACTATATATTGGAGATTAAGATTGAAGATTGCTCAATCACACTATAAATTGTATCCAACAGCAGTTAAGATTAAGTCAAACAATGCTCATAATATTGGGTGCTTTTCCACTTCGTGTATCAAAGCATATTCTTTCTTTTTAGTTTATATTTCTATTTTCAGAGGCATTTTTCACATATTTTCATTAATTAATTGAATTGTCAATGTACTTTTTATAACTCTTTTAACATATTTGTACATACACAATAACATTTGGTAAAGTTAGTCACGTGAGATTATAACCATTAAAATACTAGAAACTTATTGATTAAGATTGAGATTAAAGATTGGAAAAATAGACGGAGCCTTAGGCCGGAATCAGAACGCCGGAATTGAAGAATAAGATTGAAGATTGAAAAATTGAAGTTTGACCAATCAAAACAAAAGGAGCCAAAATTTCTAAAGATTGAAATTTCATTGATGACGTAAATTAAAGATAAATTTAAGGAAGCCTTAAGTACAAGGTCTGACTATGAATACGGGCATTAATCACTTCAATACTTTCAAGGATGCGAACTCCCGTAAGGATGTCGGTCTTTAATAATATCTCGGTGCTACGACTTAAGACTCCACGACCATCTATGACTTCAAGGTTAAACACAATAGGCACAGGCAATAGGCAACAGGGAACAATTGGAAAGCACCCTCTGATTATAGGATTTCTAGACGCTGTCATATAAAGGCATCTTTAATATGTATCGTAAGCCTGTTCTTTTTGGCTGAACTTTGCATCACTTCATTCTTCTTCCTCTTCTTTTCTCTTGGAGACAAAAAAGGTCTGTTTTTTATGGCTGAACTAGTGTACACTTTAGGAACTTAAAGTGAGTCTGATATATTGTACATTTGATATTTATTTAAAGTGAGAAAGAGAATTCTAAAACAGTCTAGTGCAGAAACAGAAAACAGAAAAATGAACATAAGTTCAGCCAAAAAGAACAGCCAACAAGAACAACTATATTTTCAAACAAGATGAAAATTACAAAATTGAGCGAATTTACTAGAATACTGATAATTTCATTGGTCAACATCTAGTAAATTTGCCAGGCCTTGCACAAACGGATCCAGTGTGAATCCAGCATTATACGTGACGTTTTGACGTGTTTTAGCGCAAAAGCACGTTCAAATTTGAAGTAACGACGTTAACCTCAAATAAAGTGTTTTTTGGCGCTTAACATTATCTTTGCAATCAATCGCAATGGAAGCGACCGCATCAACAGTGAGTCTCAATGTGGATGAGGATTTGGATGATTTCACTCCGGCAAAATTGGTTAAAACATTAGAGGTAAGTCATGCCGTACGAATCTATCATCAGGACTATGTATCGTTATGTCCGTATATGTTCGAACACGTCATGTTTGTCTTATGCTTTGTTACTTGTCGCGCAGAAAAATGGCATTACAGCTGGAGATATTAAGAAACTTCAAGATGCCGGTTATTACACCGTCGAGGCAGTGGCCTACGCAACCAAGAAGGATCTCTTGGTGATCAAGGGCATCAGTGAAGCCAAAGCAGATAAGTTGCAGCTGGAAGCCTCTAAGATGGTTATGATGGGCTTTAAGAGTGCCACGGAGGTACATCAAACACGGGCGAATATTGTCTATATTACCACAGGTTCTAAGGAATTAGATAAGCTATTAGGTGGAGGAATAGAAACTGGCTCTATTACAGAGATCTTTGGAGAATTCAGATCAGGAAAGTCTCAGCTGTGTCACACTCTTGCTGTGAACTGTCAGTTACCTATCAGTATGGGTGGCGCAGAGGGCAAGTGTCTTTACATAGATACAGAGAATACTTTTAGACCAGAAAGATTAATAGCAGTGGCAGAAAAGTACAAGATCAATGGACAGTCAGTTCTCGATAACGTCGCTTGTGCAAGAGCGTTCAACACTGATCACCAGACTAAGTTGTTGCTTCTAGCCAGTGCCATGATGACAGAGGCAAGATACGCCCTGTTGATAGTCGACAGTGCGACTGGTTTATATAGAACCGATTACACCGGCAGGGGTGAATTATCAGCTAGACAAGTCCATTTAGGGAGATTCCTTAGAATGTTGCTGCGACTGGCAGATGAACATGGAATAGCTGTAGTTATAACGAATCAGGTAGTTGCACAAGTCGACGGTGCCGCTAGTATGTTCGGTGGTGATCAGAAAAAACCGATTGGTGGTCACATTTTAGCACATTCAAGCACAACGAGATTGTACTTGCGTAAAGGCAGAGGGGAAACTAGGATATGCAAGGTATATGATTCACCATGTTTACCAGAGAGTGAGGCGACATTTGCCATAAATCCGGATGGCATTGGCGATGTAAAAGAATAAGTTTGAACTGAAGAGTTAGAATTAAAATGAATATAATAAATTATTACACAGTGATTTATTTTTAAGAAAACCGATAAATGTATCTCAGCATTAGATATCAACTTATTTTTATTAAGGTGAAGTTAAATAAAGGAACAAATGTTTCTCTCACGCGCGTTGGATAATGTTAATTTACATATCTTAAAATAATTGAAGAGTTCACGAAAAGACAATAAATTCTACGCAGTCGAAGTTAATTGTTGAGTTAGTTAAGGGGTAGATCGTAAATGTACAGTATACTTTTCTAAATATTATCCTAATGTATCTTTTTTACAAAACTTTATATAATATTATATTTCAAGGCTTTAATAAATGTAAGACAATAAATGTACTTTTCTTAAACGGGATGGTTCTCTTTTATTATATAATTTGTGCAAAAGGATTAAAAATATTTTATTAATTAAGCTTCTAAAGAATAAGTATAAATAGTATATTTTTCAAATTATTTTTATTTTATTTATATATTTTTAGTATATCTTGACGATTTGAATTCCAATTTAATTTTGGCGATTTTAATTTTGAATGCTATTAACAGTTACATTGATTATTGATTGGCAATCATTGAGATTATAAAGTTGGTACTCATACTACTCGCACCTCTTTTGCACGGCATTTCATATCAGTTCTCGATAATTCGAAGATTTGCTAGCCTTCATGATCTCCGCGATCGCTGTTGTTTTTTCACAAAATATCAGTGAAATCTACAATGGGTTATACTTATATAATAATTCATAATATTTGTGTGGTAATTCATATTTGTACGTCAAATCTGCTATTTTCTCGCCGTCTTTTTCGAGCTATCATAAGCTGCTTCCATATTTCTTCGAGTCGAAAAATACCGTTACAATTGCGTGAAGTGAAATTCGAACGATTTTGAATTTCACACTTATTCAACGAACGCGTAGAAAACTCCGAAACTTTCACGAAGGGAAATGTTAAGGAATTTAAAAAAGGACAATAAATTCTGAGCAATTGAAATTAATTATTAAGTTAATTTAAAAAATATGTAAAAGGTATGTACATTATATGAAGAAAAATATACTTATAGTATTTTTGTTAATTAGAATGAAAATGCTCGTACACATGTTCTAAACAAATTAAACAGAATTGTGGCTTATTTCGAGCTTATAATTAGAATGATTTAATACAATTAGCATAAGTTATATAAATGTAATATAATATTCTAAAACAAAATTAATCAAATAATGTAAAATACAAACGTTTCAGCTTACAAAACAAATAGATAACGAATGTAATGAAATATTTAAAATATCAGTGATGATGTGTCAATTTATGTAAAAGTCGAACGCCAAAATGTGTTAAGATAGATTACTCAAAATATGAAGAATTATTCTAGAAGTAATCTGTCTTAACACATTTTAATGTTCCACTTCTATATAATCACCACTGATAATATTTTAAATATTTCATTATATTCGTTATCTATTAATTCGTAATTTAATAATGTATTTTTGTTTTGTAACACTGAAGAAGACTTTGTAAGCCGAAACGTTTGTATTTTATTATTTGATTAATTTTGTTTTAAAATATTATATTATTATATTTATGTAACTTATGCTAATTGTATTAATTGAAAGTCATTCTAATCATAAGCTTGAAATAAGCCACGACTTTGTTTTATTTTTATTAATGTTTCTCTTGGTATATTTTTCCTAAAAAATTGGGATCAGATGCTCTACGAATTATTTTATCGGCTACTGAGCATCTAAAGATAAATATGAAGAAGTCTTAAATATATGATCTGACTATGAATATGGATCAAAGTAAGAATTTACATATAAGTACTCCTTATAACTTTCGAGAGCGATTCTCGAGCAGATGAATTAAGATCTACCAAGCGTTGCAGAGTATGGCGAACTCTCTTTGTGTATACATAAAGGGTGTTTCTACACGAATGAGAGAATTATTTGGCTCTCCATTTTGAATAGTTTAAAAAAAAATCAATGACAATCTGAGAACAGAAATGGATTATTTACGACTAGTCCATTTATCTAAAGATGGAATCATACAATGCTCGATTTCTGTTTGAATGATAACATGTATACAGGCATACTGTGTCTCTTGATGCTTGCTCTAATGTATGCTAGAATTCGTTCATGCAGCGCTGCATGCTACATATACATGTTTTTATATTTATTATGGATTACTTCACAGCTTATTTCCTTGCATGCACCAATCAAAAGAAACAATTGCTAATTTCATAATTATTTGTCAAACGTAGGATTATATGCATTAAAGCAAACAAAACGGCATGCATATCATTCAAGAAATCGAGCTTCATGTGATTCCATCTTAATATAACAATTTCATTATTAAATATTACTGCATTTTTATTATGCTAATTACATATAATTAGTATTATTATTTCGTAGATTGAAAAGATTTTAGAAAAGAAGGAACGCAATAAAGGAAAGGCAAAATCAGGAAATAAAAAACCAAGAGACATCTAAAAGAAAATAAGAGCGAAATAGTGTTGAAGAAGAATCTAAACTTCTATGTTATCTAAAACACGAAACGTGGATGAGCATTTCAATGAAAATAAATAGGATTAAGAACTATAAAGTCTATGTTCAGAAGAGAATAAAAGAAAATTAAAGAGGAAGATTAGGAAAGCGATATGCCGTATTGCTGATTTAAGCAATTCAGATATTTTTCCTAATAGATTATCTAATATATCTAATATATCACTATTACATTCATCATCATTCTCCACACAACATACACACACGCACACACGCACGCGCGCGCACGCACACGCACACACGCACGCGCGCGCACGCACACGCACGCACGCACACTAATGCGCGACATAACTAATATAAAATGTATATTTTCTAAAAAAAGTATATTTTCTAATAAAATAAAATTTTCTAAATGTTATTACAATTTGAATACAATTTTTTTTTATATTTTGTTTTGACATTTCATTTATCTTTACACGAAAGATTATGTTCAAAACTGAATATAATTGATCATAAGTATACAGTAAAATAATGGTCTAAATTGTCTAAAATATTGTAAAAAGATAAATACATCAAATTACATTATTGAGCACATATGTGTGTATGTATATACATAAATACGTGTACATATTATATTAAAAATAGATTCGAAAATATTGCTCATTTCATATCTTTCGTTAATTTTATTTTTCTAAAAATGGCATGTTATTCTATAATTCGTCTCATGATATGATAATTAACATCCCTGTTGATTAATTATAGATTTTTACAGCATCATTGATTCACAATCGTAATTACGACGATGTTTCTACTTGGCCACACTAATCGATAGGTTCGTAACAGGATAATTCAATTTACATAAGCGTTTGTTAGACGAGATCAGACTTTTAGTGTGTGTGTGTATACTATATACTCAAAAAAATCTATAAAATTGTAAACTATAAAATATTAAGCTAATCAGTTCTTTTAATCGACACTATAATGTACACATATTTGTTCAGAATCGCGATTTAATAGAAGAAAGTATCACTTATTATCGATCACTTTGGAGGCACTAAGTGGCTTATAATTCAATCGGCTTTAATCGATCATGGATCCATAAGATTCACTGCGGAAGCCCGAAGATTTAATTGGTATTCCCCGAAAAGCATAGCCGCTAACCATTTATACTGCTCGTCTTTGGACGTGCCCGCCAAAATATTCCCGAAATATGGACTGTCCTTACATCTGAAAAATAATTGAACGTTATTCTATCAAGGAAATAATTGAACATTTATAGATATTAAATTATAATGCAAATGACAAATATTTGTTGATGTAATAATGACAAATTTATTATTACATCCATTGATAGAATTAGTATTTTTACCTCGTTGGCTTTTTATTTTTTGTGATAAACGTGAGAGACCAGCTGTAAAGAAAACACATCTAGTAAGTATTTTTCAAGAACTTTATTATAATAAAATATTTATTATAATAAAAATATTATATAAAATAGTAATGTATAACTTTATGCCTTATATACCCCATTTGTGGATTGCGTTTAGGCTCATGTCCCAAGTACCAAATGATGTCTTCTATCTTCCATTCATGAAGTTTCACGGAGCACACCTTATCCTTATAACAAAAAAGCTTCGCCTGGCTGAATTCGAAGAGGTAAGTTTTCAGATTCTTTGTCTTGATGTCCGCAAATTTAAGTTCGCCGGAGATCGTCATAGGCGGCTTTACCTACACAGAGAGCAACAGAAAGTGAGACCGAAAGAGGGAGAAGAAACATAATTAATTTCAATTAGATCATATCCTGTTTTCGCAGCGCATGCGGGACGCGTCTTTCTCTTCGCCTCTAATCACGCAATTTGATCCGTATAAAAGCTTACGCACGCTTTGTACAGCCTTGAACTCGTTTTGTTATTATAAATTTAGATCATGGGAATTCATAAGATAATCTTTGTGTATGTGCTAATTTCACTACGATCATCAAGAACTTTGAACTGTTTTAGCGAATTTTATCTGTTTTGTTTTTAATATGTACCAGAGGCACGATGTCCTTGTATAATCGGTCTTTTCTGAGAATGAGGACATTATCCTTTCTATCATCCGAGTCCCAGTATCCCCATCTCGCCACTGCTTCCAAGACACGTTCGTTATGATGCAACGGTCGCTCCAGCGCGCCGGACAGAGTATATTCCTCTAAACACAGTTCGTGAGACGGTAAGTTGGTTTTCTCAGCGAGTTCTCGACACACATCGAATGCGGTCTTCTGAGGTCCGATCTAAGTAAATTATTTAAAAATAAATAAATGAAAAATTATATTATATTTATAGCTACTTTTTCATTAGTAAACAATCATTAGTAAACAAACTAGAGTTCAAACAAATTTTTGTTGACAATAGTATGTAATAGTTCATAATATATAGTTTTTAATATATAGTATAATAGGTTTTGATCTATAGAAAATTATAAAAAAAATCCTTACTGTAACATTCACACACTCTCCATTTGGTGAAAGGATGTATATCCAGATCTTGAGATCTCCTGAGGGTGCACCTCGTAATCCATTATTGGATACATGATGTTTTTCCAGAATCTCCAGCATTTTCGCTTCCTTGGCCAAATCAGCCGACGACAATTGGTAAAGTTTCGGATATAGTTTGATGAGATCACCGATGACCTTGATCTCCGTCCGATTCCATTCCTCGGCACTGTTTTCGCCGGCATGCATCAAAGTTGGACCCCAGACTGCCGAAAGATTTTCGACGGTCATTAGATTCCTGGCACTCTGCTGACTGAGGCCATGAAGATGCGCTAGGATCCGACGAAGCGTCGCCGATGTTATGGGATTTAGAGTGGACAATAATTTTCGATAAGTCGCTATTCTGTTTTCTTCACTAGTCGATTCTATAAAAAGGGAAATAGATTTTTATATTTTTTGCCTTAACGTTAATTTTTTTCAAAATTATAATTAGTCATTTAATATCTTAGACATTTTTCCTGTATCTATTTTGTATCGTTTAAGTCAATTTTGAACGGCTCACGTTTATTACCTGAGGCAAGGCAGAGTCGGTCATGTATATTAGGAGGAAACAATGATTCCGGTAAATCTCGAAGAAATCTTCTAAGAACCGTGGCGACGTCATGTTCCGAGTAAACATTTCGTGTTATTTGTGTTGCCCATGCATCTCGTCTGAAAGCCTCTAATAATTTTACGACGGCACTGCTTGATCCACTACGACGATAAATACCTTCCGTCATCATACCTGAAAGATAAGATTTTGTAAGACATTTAGTGGAATTACAACAATGCAATATCAAACATATTTAATGCAACTAACAGTCTCTAGCGATCTAGAATTTAATTATCAGGAAATGTTTGTTTTGTTGCTATCATTAATTCTAATGATAGCAATAATGCGAATTTAAATGTCATTGTGATACATTATATAGAATGTCCTGTGATTGATGTTATAAAAAAGAGATAATGATCCTATAAGAGAGAATAAAAGTTGAAAATTTTATTTTTTATCGTTTTTGGAAAGATTAATCTTAAAAATGGAGAAACTATCATCAGTTATGGAATATTATCGGACACACGTATGTTTCCATAAAATTATCTTCGACGATACAAGATGATGATTCATTAATCACCATGGGCATAGATAAAGTTGATGCATTTGTCCAAGATGACAGGCACGTTGTCCTGCGTAATTTGTTGTTGGTCTAAAGCAGGGCCGCAGTTCGTAGCTGCTTGATAAAGCGCATGTCGCCACGCAGTCGATTCGTGGGTTCCCGATGTGGCAATATGCAAGGCGCCACTACCTCCAGCATCTACAACGACTATTGGAACAGTCCCGCACGCAGCAATTGGTCCTTCTTGATCTCGCAATACTGCAATGTCACAATATTATAATTTCAATAAACAGTAGCACAATAATAATAATAATATAGAATCTTATTACGCGGGAATTAAATTTTAACAAGAATTCTTTATCTCTTTAAAAACAATGTTTTTAAATAACTTATTGATTAATATCAATGTAATATTATAATATCGATGTAATGATTAATAGCACTCGTGATCAGGACACATTTATATATAATATGTATATGGCTATTAGAATGACTAATTGTAAGATGCATTGCATTTTTAATCGAACGGTTCGTATTAAGCCACCGATAAGATAATCGAATTCATTTATTACCGCAATTAGGTCACTTTTTCACATTTCAACTGTAACATTAAGTGGGTCACGATAATTTCAACAATGAGTTGAAAAAAATTAAGGCTAAGGCAAGTCAATTGATATTGATCACACACGAACGAATACTGAGAAAGATACAATGAGAATAAATTGATTTAACAATATAATTTTAATTTATTAAAATAAGTTAAATTTTTTTTCTTATATATTTCATCTATTTTACATATTTTACATTATACAGAGATTTTTATATTATACAGAGATATTATTATCTTATATTTGTGAGAGACTTTAATCTTATATTTATATAATAGATTGAATTACAAAATTTCAAATTTTTGCTTAAGCTTAACAATAAACTTACCAATGCAACGCGCTTTTCGTAGATCTACGTGTTCAAAGTTCACAGCATAATTTACAGCAGACTCCGAGGTTTTTGTGTAAGTCAGTATTCTTTGTTGTAAGAGAAGCCAAGCTGGGAACCAAGTACCTGTTACACCTTCCTAAAGGATACAAAGGATACATTGAAGAAAAATAGAAGATATGTTTCATATTTTTAAATTCAGTTAAAAGGAATTTAGCAATATATTGTGACAATGAAATCCGAAATATTCAGAACGTCCGCAAGACTGTAGAAAAGGAATTTGCATATCAAAGCATATAGGTTTCCGCGTTCGCAAGCGCGAATGTTTTTAACGTTGCAAACATTGAGGATTTTGTGGTATGTCATATAATAATGGTATTTTCAAGTAAATTTCTAAACTTTAATGTTGAAATAATATCTATTTTAAATAATTTCTTAATTACACAGTTAAAAAGAATGTTAATACCTACATTAACATGAAAAAAATATATCAAATATATATCAATTCGACGTACCTTAAAATACGACTGACGTAAGCTTGCAAATTTATTATAATAGATTAATATAAGATTATAGGACATAATAAAAAAATACGAAAGTGAACAATTCTTGGTGATTAATTACACATAGAACTTTTTGTACACTATTTTTATTAATTTTTATTAATTTGTTTTTGTGTTCAAAGATATTGATTTTATTACATTGCTTTTATATATATATATATATATATATATATATATATATATATCA